TTGCGTATTTATAGATAGTGAGAAGAAATAGAGGGACATTGAAGAAAATTCAAAAAATTGAGAAACGTTGAATTTATTAAATTTGTTTTATTTATGCAGAGTCGAGCTTCAAGCACGTGCTTTGATACTAAAATTGGACAGATTTTGCAAACTGGGGTTAATCATTTTTGGCTAATATGATAGGTCTTATTTAATCAAAGCTTACACGTGTACTTTGAGAAGTTATTTATTCATTATAAAAATATTCAGTACACAAGGTGTATATGAATAACAGACAAGTTTCTTCTTAAGAAGAGCTCATAAACACTATTCAAAAGGAGTGGAACTTGACTATATAAAAATATTGTATAAATCATTACCTAATCGTATATTCCAAATTGTAAATAACAATGATGGATATACAAAATATGAATAAAGTATAGTTGTTGCGACAACACCATAATTTTACGTTTTAGTTACAGTGCGTTTATTCAAATGTCGCAAGAGTGTTCTTACTTTTTCTTAAAAATGCGAATATTTTTATAATGAATAAATAATTTCTCACAGTACAGGTGTATACTTTCATTAAGTAAGACCTATCATATTGGAAAAATAAAATTTATTAATTTAAACTTCACTAAACAAAAATACAGTGACAATATCACTGCGTTTATTCAAGTGTCGCGGACTGTATTTATGTTAATCTGTCTCAGTATGTCGATCATTTCTCATTTCTCATTTCTCCTGATAATCCAACAATTGGGGCGATAATGGACATATTTTACTTCGTTGGTAATCACAGATTTACAGTGAAATTTTTGTAAATAGAAAAAGAGGTACTTGAGATGTTGGAATTTTTTGCAGTACGATTTTAATGCTATCGTCGCTCGTTTTATTCTGTTTATCAGACGACGATAAATAATTGCGAGTATCAGGTGGTAGCAGCTAATGCATCACTTGGCGTAATAATCCATCAAGCGAGTCAAAAAGAGAGAGAGAAAAAAAGCGCGACTGGCGGTTTTATTGTCACGCGACATGCGGACGGCGTTAAAACCCGCTTGTCGTGTCGGGCCTGTTCGCGACCGCTTGTATGAACGAGGATATACGTCTTCCTCCTGCAGTTTTCCCCGGTTAATGCATTTTTTTCGTCGCTCCTCGGAGTGACTCGTTTCCGCGTCTCAGATGGCGGGGCAGCACCGCGAGGAAAATTGAAAAAAAATTCCGGGGTAAAGCGGGAGAAGGAAGCGCGGAAAATTGTGAAAAATTTCGGCGTGAAAGAACAGAACGAAATAACGAAAGTTGGAAAAAATTTCGGTGTAAAGCAAAAGAACGAAATAAAGAAGATAATCGTGCAGAATTTCGATATAAAGATAAAGAAAGAAACACGGAAAATTGTGAAAAATTTTCAGCGTGAAGCAGAAGAAGGAAATCAAAAAGATTGTAACAAATTGCAACACAGGCCGAGAAGAGAAGAAAACAAGGAAAATCCTCGCGAGAAACATTGCAACGTAGCGCAGAACAACGAACGAAAAAGAAAAAAGAAAAAAGTAGAAACGATGAAAATATACAGAAGATAAATGGAGAAGAAAGCGGCAGAAAGCCTGTGAATCGTAAAATCGCGAAAGCGAACCGCGAGAGATTCTAAAGATAGTCGCTTAGATGGTACATTATGCTCGAAAAGAAGACGCGCGCGATTTATCGAGAAACGTACTCATTAAAGGGGAAAACAGGCACGAGTGTCGCTCGACCTCGTTACGGGTTCGTGCAATTATGTCAGGACCCTCTTGCATTCTTGAAAATGTAGGAAATTGAAGGAACGAAGTGGCGGAGATGAGGGAGAGACGGGGAGAGACAGGGAGAGACTGCTGGGTTACCTCCGTTAAATTCATCTTCGCCCCGGTAAAAAGGGTCTTGTCTCTCCCTCGATACAATTCTCATCGAAGCGTGCAGTCATTCGCAGTCATGGTCCGTTGAATTTCAAGTTCCAAGTTCTAAAGGAAAAAAAAAAGAGGGAACTGACCTATTTTTTTTTTTTTTCATTTCCCACCGAATCAGACGTTCTTCTTTCCCATTCTTTCTTTTTGTCGCCACCCTTTAATTAATAACCCACCGAAATGTGGTGGCTGTCTCTCGTTCTGTGTCACACACATATATATGCACGTAATATATGTCGAGTGCGTTATTCTCGCGGAGGAATTGTTACAGAAAAGAAGTGGAGTATGTATAGGTTGCTCTTTAGTACTTCAAGTGGATTCACTTGCGCGTGAGTATGAAATGTTCTTCGCGGTTTCGAAAAGAGATGGAAAAGTTCGATTTTTCATTTCAAAGGAACAATCGAAATAGGTGAAGAATTGTTTTTGAGGAAATTCTGATTTAGGGTAACTCTTCAATTCTATTGAATTCTAAGTGGTGTTTTTGTAACTTCGTTCAAAGACAGTATTTTCGAGAAATTTTGCAACTTCGCAACATCGAGGTTCGAACGTCGTACAGCGAGAATTTTCGAGGACCTTTTGCACATTCAACCCTTTGATCTGACCACTTAATCCCTTTTCACCGCAACAGATAAATCACCATTCAACTCGCTTTTAATCAAATCATGCACAAATCGTTTTACTCTCGAAACCACGTTTTTCAAGTTAGCATGCAGGATTACAGAGGAATGTAATCGACGGATCAGTTTCGGATAAAGTATAGTATAAACTTAGAGTATAAAATTCGCAATAACGGTATTCAAAATTGCGTTGAATTTTTTTATCGTAACCTAGGGATGCCCTTTTTCTAATAACACAAGAGTTGAATACTAATAAAAAGAACATTCTTAATATTGTAGTATTAGTTCATACGTACCCTGAGATAAAAGAGATTAAACATCGTTGAATTGTAGCGAAGGTGTAATGAAAACAGTGAAATCAGTAACAAAGATCCATTTTAATTCCATCTGTAGTTTAACTCAGAAATCTGAGGATTGTCAAGTGAGCCACTCAGAAGCCAAAGTGACCAACTCCGTCAGATTAACTTTATTAAATTTTTTTTCTCTATAAAGAGTTAAGCACCAAGAATTTATTAATTCTATCTGTGGTTTCAACTTACAAATCTGAGGACTGTTAGATGAGCCACTCAGAAGCCAAAGTGACGAACTTCGTCAAATTTCTTTTATGTATAAAAAGTTGAACACCAAAAATTTCAGAAATTGGAATTAATCACATTTTGGCTTCTTAGTGGCTCAAATCATAATAATAGTAGTGTAGCTTCTCTTACGTTGCTTACAAGAGGCTTAACGTATATCTATATATCATAATTTCGCTGAAAGGGTTAATACCTGAAATCGAAGGAATCGAAAAGGCAACCATCAGGACACTAGTATAGCCTGTGGTGTCCTGGTGGAAGAATAATAGCCGAAGAGGAGGTGGGCGTGGAGAGGCGCGAACGGAGAAAACGAGGGCAGATGATGGGCCTCCTCGCTGCTGTCCCTCTCTCTCTGTTTCTCTCTCGAGTTAAGTGGTTAGCAGTCGAGAAGCGGTTTCGATTAGCCAGCTCGTTGAACCCGACGATCGACGTCGCGCAAAAGGCCCCGCGAGGATTCCATCCGAGGAGGATCCTGTCTCTCCCTCCTCTCCTTCTTGTTCTTTCCTCTAGCACTGCACCCTCTGTTCTCCTTTCGAGCCACGGACACTGTATATCGCGTTTGCTGCTGGTGATCTATGACGACGTGAATTCGTTCGATGGTGAAATTGGAGGCAATTGTTTCGATGAGGGGGCACGTTGGTATCGATTTTCGTTCCCTTCTTTCTTTCAAATTTTGATATTCTGAATATTACGTGTCCTGGATATTAAATTTTCCAAATATTAAGTATTCCAAATATTAAATATCTCAAATAGTAAATACCCCAAATATTATATATCCCAAATATTATATATCCCAAATATTAAATACCCCAAAATATTAAGTATTCCAAATATTAAATATCCCAAATATTAAGTATCCCAAATATCAAATATCCCAAATATTAAATATTCCAAACATTAAATATCCCAAACATTAAGTATTCCAAATATTAAATATCCCAAATATTAAATATTCCAAATATTAAATATCCCAAATATTAAGTATTCCAAATATTAAATACCCCAAATATTATATATCCCAAATATTAAATACCCCAAAATATTAAGTATTCCAAATATTAAATATCCCAAATATTAAGTATCCCAAATATCAAATATCCCAAATATTAAATATTCCAAACATTAAATATCCCAAACATTAAGTATTCCAAATATTAAATATCCCAAATATTAAATATTCCAAATATTAAATATCCCAAATATTAAGTATTCCAAATATTAAATACCCCAAATATTATATATCCCAAATATTAAATACCCCAAAATATTAAGTATTCCAAATATTAAATATCCCAAATATTAAGTATCCCAAATATCAAATATCCCAAATATTAAATATTCCAAACATTAAATATCCCAAACATTAAGTATTCCAAATATTAAATATCCCAAATATTAAATATTCCAAATATTAAATATCCCAAATATTAAGTATTCCAAATATTAAATATTTCAAACATTAAATATCTCAAACATTGAATATCCCAAATATTAAGTATTCCAAATATTAAATATTTCAAACATTAAATATCTCAAACATTAAATATCCCAAATATTAAGTATTCCAAATATTAAATATCCCAAATATTAAATATTCCAAATACAAAATATTCCAAATATTAAATAACAAACTCCGTTAAACAGAATAATTTACTCGATCCTCAGCAACAACTTAAAAAACTTCCACTTCACTTATCCTTCCAGACTCTCTCATCCTTTCGAGCATTAAAAACTCCTCTCGTCTCTCCGCTGTAAAACTACATCGTGTATACAATACGTCAAACTGTTGCACGATGTTATCTATTGCACCTCTTTAACCCCAATTTCTCTCTTGTTTCCAGAGAAGCGGAAAACGCTACGACGGAAGTGGTGGAAATTGGAAAAAAGGCGAACGTAGAAAGAGAGAGAGAGAGAGAAGAGTACAGGTGCAGAGCGTGTCGTTTTCAGGTGAGTGTGTTCAACGTAGCGTGCATTTGAAGGAAGCCACTCGCGTATCCGTCGAAGAAAGACGTTCTCTAACAAACTCAAACGGAATTTCGCTTATGACATACTTTTTCACTGAACCCACGTATTTGCCCACGGCTTATTCCTCCTCTCCCTGTTCGCCTTCTGTAAACACACCCTACCCGGAGAACCTACCGACGTCACCGTGCAAACCCCTTCCGGTTGCATAACGCGCCATTTTCCCAATCGTTCTACGGTGCAACAAACGTCGTTTACCTTTCACACCAAGGAAATGGAAAATTTCACGAACTGAAAGATTCGATTTCAGGATTGAATAATTTTTATCTCTTCGTGAAACATTGATTTTTATGCGAACGCTTAATTTTTTCGGAAATTTCAATATTTAGGGTAGAAAAACAAAGAATAGATAAAGAATTTTTCTTCGTATATAATTTTCCAACGAGAAATACAGTTTTACGGTAACACCGAAAGTGTAATAAAACATATTTTCAAGCTTTCAACCCTTTCGCTGCGGCAGATTTTAATACGTAACTCACGTGACAGAAGATAGATATTCAATCGTGAACAGAATCTTCCGTTTCGATCGTATCGTTTTCAAATTTTCTCTATTAAATCAACGTGGAATTGCGCAAAGGATGAAATTAGGATGGAAGTGTACCAAAAGGCGTGAACTGCACAGTGCCAGGAAATTTTCAAAGGTTAAGAAGCTAAATCATCTCACTCTTTCAGACACTGATCTGTCTACCCTTACTTAAAATTACACAGATCAAAGAAAACGCACAAACAAAAAATGTCACAGGGGAAAAATTGCAATATCCTTACTTTTACTTTGCGGTCGTATGTCTGCTCTCGGCCACCGAAGCACTTATATCACACCATGGAGAAATTTAAATATAATTTTCGTATAAAATGAAACCACGTGTTATTGTGTTAAACATACGTAAAGTAGAAAAAAGTAAATAAGAAATAGTAAAAACGACGAAGTAAAATAATAGAAAAATAACACAAATGATAATCTTGCATTACATTATCAGTGTTCGTTGCCTGAGCCAAATACGACCGCAAAGGGTTAATTACACTCACCGTGTCGAACCGGCGAATTTTCAAAGCTCAACAACCTAAACCATCTCGTTCTTTTAGAAATGAATCTATCTACCCTTGCTAAAAATGACACAAATCAAACGAAAAATGTCAGCATCGTAATTTTTAATATTAATCACAGAACGTTCCCGATCACTGTATTTACGTATATACACGCATCCACAGAGTGTGTCGAACGTGATAGGAACTAGCTGTGGTGGCTGGTGTCGTCTTTATTCCGGTGGCTCGGTCGACAGGCGTTATCTGAGTCTCCGCATCTAATAATAAACGGGTCGAGCATTGTTGGAAAATGGGTCGAACGCGCAGGCATCTCTGCCGATGTATCGAACACACTTTGCACGTAGCTGTTCACATGCACGACAAGAGATGCAGCGGCAAGGCAACCGCTTGCATAATACGCCCCAACCCCCTTCAACGTTCCAAGCTGTCCGAAGCGTGACACGTGCCGGAGCGAATGAATGCACTCAGGAATCGGCACAGTTTCGAAGTTTGCACGGGAGAGTGCAAGACGTTACCTCTCTCGCGGTTCTGGTGTCACCATGAATTGTGTCGCCGCCTCCTCGCTGTTTCACGGCTCGGCGGCTCGCTTTTTCGTCAGCTTTACGCGCCTGTGAAAAGGGGAATCGATGCGGTGATTTCTGTGAAAGGATTGGAAGGACGGGGGAAATTGGGATATTGTGCTTTGAATAATTTTCCTCGTTTGCGAATTTCGAGAGCACCGAGGTTTGTTCGTTTCGGATTTCGGGGAGAGTTTGCTTTATTGGACTGCGGTGATTGGATTTCAGAGGTATTTTGGATTTGGAGAGTGTGAGGGTGGATTTTTCAATGAGACGATCGGAGTACTCGGGAGTCCCTTTTGGGAGTCTCAATTGTATTTCACATTTTGCTGCTTCTGTTTGGTCGAGGGTTTAGTGTTACACTGTTATAGTATTAAATTTGCAAGGAACTTGGGGTTGAAGGATGAATTTTTCAGTGAGAAGAGATGGAATGTTCAGGTTTGAATTATTTTGCAAGTTTTAAATTTCGAGAATACTCATTTCTTTGATATTTCGTTGCTTCAGTTCGGTTGAGAGTTTAGCGTTGCAGTGTTGAATTTGGGTGTGAAAGAATTTTTGATTGAAAAAATTGGAATATTCAAGGTTTGAATTATTTGGTGGTTCCAGTTTTGGGAGTCTCAATTTTATTTCACATTTCGTTGCTTCAGTTCGGTTGACAATTTAGTGTTGCACTATTGCAGTATTTGCGAGGAATTTGAGTTTGAAGGATGAATTTTTCAGTGAAAAGATCGATATATTCAGATTGGAATAATTTTGCAGGTTTCAAATTTGGAAAGTGTCGATTAGTTTGCTATTTAACGGAGAGTCTAGTATTGCACTGTTATAGTATTGAATTTGCAAGGAACTTAGGCTTGAAGGATGAATTTTTGAACGAAAGGATTGAAATATTCAGATTTCGGTAATTTTGCAGATCTCGAATTTGGAGAACATCGATTTCCTTCGTATTTCTTTGCTTCGGAATTTAGTATTACACCATTGTAGCATTGAATTTGCGAGGAGCTCGGGTCCAAAGGATCTAAGGACGAATTCTCGAGTGGTGAGAATAGAAAATCGAGGTTTCAATTATTCGATATTTCCCCGTTTCAATTTCACTGAAAATTTCCTATCACACCGCTACACTCTCCAATTTCCAACAAAATTAACTACCAAAAAATATCGGTTTCAGCGACCAAACGAAAGGATAATTTCCTAAATACGAAAATTGGAGACTGTTCGTAGAGAGTCGTTCAGTGGTTTCACTATTATGCTAGTTTAATTATCAAATTTGTGATGAATTAATGCTCGCAGAGAGTATCGAATCGTTTAACGATGATCAATTCGTCGAATTTCAGTTTAACGGTAGCGCTAAGCAGCACTGTCCCAGCCTCCACTTATACAGAATTTTAATTCCTTCAATCCCAGCTCGTTCGATTAATTACTCTCTCTCTCTCTCTCTCTGTGTTTCAACGCTATTGTCTCCCTCATCCAAAATTTACCGAAACGCTCTTCTAATTTACAAACCTTCGATTACCATCCCACTTCGCCAAGTCAAATTTCAGGTTACACTTTACATTATCCAGAACACGGTTAAATCGTCGAATTTCAATTTTCCACATCCTTTTCTGATCACTTTAAATCACTCAGCAACGAGAGCGAGATCTGTTACCTTCGTCTTCCCACTTGCACGGCCTCCATTAGTCAAGTTTCAATTTTCCAGATAGTTAAACTCGGGCCAGTTTCTACACACGTTCTTTCAATTACTCTAAATCACTCGGTATTACGTTACTTCGGGACTTCCCACTCGTGTATCACCTCAATTTTCTCCCGATAATTCACCAGGTCGATTATTACACTCTCTGGCAGAACTATTGCATTACGTTACCCCGTGTAGTACACTCGCATAACGCTCTCTGTTTCGTTCGGAATTCTCAAACGTTTGCTCGATTCTTCCGGTTCTACGTAGGATCACCGAAACAACCTTGCACGTTATTCCTCCCTTGGTCTGTCTGGCGTTTTGCAACAACGAGAGCAGCAGCACGAGGAGAGAAGGGAAGAAGGGATGAGAGAGAGAGAGGACGAAGCGAACCGTTTCGTTGAAAGCCACAAATTCAAGTGTGACGCGTAGGCGACGCGATAAATTTCCGCGAGAGTGGCACGGGCTAAAGATCGACCGGGGTTCCCCTTCGATAATATAGGTGCGAGCCACCGCAAATCCAACTCTCCGGCTACGAAACTGCCGCGATAAATCCACGTTTATCTGTCGTATAAGGGACAATCAGTCGTGAAACTCTAAAACAACAGAATCCATTCTCTTCTATCTCTTTCTCTCTTCGGTTGTAATAACTTCATCTTCGCTGTTTTCTCGATTAAACGAGAGAGAGGAGGAGGAGACTAAGCTTGAAAAGAATGACAAGATACAAGGGGAAAAGGGTGAAAAAAAATAGTGGACAATATTCTCGTAGGTTATATCTTGGTGGCTTATAACGGTTGGAAATAAATTCTGGAACGTAATTGTTTCTGCTTTCTCGTTGCTTTCTTTCGGTATCCATCGTGTGTCGGATAGGACAAAGAGACACACCGGTGGAAAAATCACGGAAGAACGAGGGGAGGTCTCTAACAGAGAGAAGGCAGTTCGCTTCTTCTTTCTGTGCTTCCCCCGTTGGGAGTACAGTGGAGGTGGAGGAGGAGAGTCTAAAGTAAACGGCACATCTGTTACAAACTCCTGGGTCGTTTCCTTGACTTAAATTTCGACCAAGGAACCGAGGCAAGAATTTGAAACTCTGCCCAACGTAGCAGTCTCCTCAACGTGGTTTCTGGCCTCGTTCGTCACTGCATAAGTTACGCGAAACACAGTTGGTCAGAGGCTGGTATAGTTAGTCTCGTGCTTCTGTTACTTTTGGTCTTCGAGAGTTCTACTCTAACAACTCTCTTCTTCTACCTCTATGATACTGTCTTTATTTTTCCCTCGCTCTCTCACACTGTCTCTCCTCTCTCTTTCTTCTCTGTCTCTTTACTTTTTCTCCTCTATCTCTCCCTGTCTCTCCTCTGTCTCTCCCTGCCTCTCCTGTCTCTCCCTCTGTTTCTGAGTCTCTCCCTCTGTTTCTGAGTCTCTCCCTCTGTTTCTGAGTCTCTCCCACTGTTTCTGAGTCTCTCCCACTGTTTCTGAGTCTCTCCCACTGTTTCTGAGTCTCTCCCTCTCTTTCTGAGTCTCTCCCTCTGTTTCTGTGTCTCTCCCTCTATTTCTGTGTCTCTCCCTCTCTTTCTGAGTCTCTCCCTCTCTTTCTGAGTCTCTCCCACTGTTTCTGAGTCTCTCCCTCTGTTTCTGTGTCTCTCCCTCTGTTTCTG